CTCGCCCTGCAGCCCTGCGCTCAGGAGTTTATTAGTGGACACGTCACAGACAAGACTATCCACTCACAGGTGTCGTTGGAGCCAGCAAGGCTGAGAACCCAGGCTGGGGAGGGGATGGGATGACCCACAGGGCTGAGTGGCCCAAGCTGTCCAGGTCCATGTCCCGAGAGGCTGGCTGCTTGCTTGGGGGTCTCTGGGGCCGAGGAAGACAAGGATGACAGTGAGACAGGGCAGTGGCTGGCGCTCAGGGCCACGGGGCGAGCAGCCTACCAGTCCTGGTTGTCCCAGCCCTCACCGGCAGGGGCAGGGGGGTGTGCGGCCTTCTGTGTGGCCCTGGCCCGGCCCTCCCCGCCGGTGCCCTCGCCGCCAGCACCCTGCCCGCTGGCCTCCCAGTTCTCCCAGCCGTCCTCGTTGCTGTTCCTGTGACTGGAGCCTGTGCCCGAGCCCCACACATCCCAGCTGTCCGAGCTCCTGCGTTCCGTCGAGTTATCCACACACGTCCAGCTGTTGCTGCTCGGGGACTGGCGGGCCCGGGAGGCGTCGGCACTGCCAAAGGTCTCCCAGAAGCTCTGGTCCACGCCGCCAGGCTGGCCATGGTCCCCACAGCTCTGCTGGTAGCCACTGCCCTCTGGGGGTCTTTGAGAGAAACAAGGGGGACTGCAATCACTGTACAAACTATAAACCACTGCCAGGCTGCTCCGGGGACAGGCGGCAAAGCCTGCTGCTGGGGGGGTTCTCCCGTGGGGGCTCACCTGTCAGAAGGCTCCTCCGTTTTCCCAGAGAAGAAGGTGGTCACGTCTCGCCATCCCTTGCTGCCCACCCCCTGGACCTGGAAACAGACGGCGAGGGGCTCAGCAGGGGTCTGGCAGGTGTACATGGCCACACAGATATCTGGGTGGAGTCCAGCTGTGACCAATGTGTCTCCCATGCGTGCCCAGCACAGGCCCAGGTCAGGTGGCGCTCGGTGCCTCTGAGCTCACCAGGCCCAGGACTCAGGGCGCACAGGGTGAGGTTGTGGTCACTAGGTACACTGGCTACTTGGAGCCAGCTCACTGAACCCTCGCTCCTGGCAAGCGCAGGGACCGTCCTTTCAACAGAGAGAAAGCCCCGCACTAGGACACAGGACGGCAGCCCCATGTGGGGACACAGGCCTTCCAGCACAGCTGGGACCCACGGACACTTACCCAGGGAAGAGCCAGCGGCAGCAAGGAAGAGACAAGAGGGAAACAAGCGACAGTTAGGACGGGACGTGGCCCCACCAAGCTGTTTCCATATTCCTCAGCTCTCGGCAGCCTGCGTCCACACAACGCACACTCACCGACCAAGCCTGGGAGAGACCAGCTGGGGCCCTGGGCCACCGTGCTGGGGGCAGTGCCAGGCCCTGGAATATGGAGACTGGCTTTGTGCTGTGCCCGCAGGCCAGACCGCCTACCTTGGACGCCAGCTGAGAGACCCCACTGGATACATCATCCAAAATCCTTCCCTCCTTCACCTACGTGGGGTGAGACGGCCATTACTTGGGGGCAGAAGAGAACGGGGAACAGGTGACAGCCAAGAGTGGCACATGGACGGTGGGCGGCTAGAAAATCTCCCAAAAAGCTTTTGTGTCTCAAAGACCCGGTCTCCTTGTGGCCAGGCAGCTGGGAAGCTATGCAGCTGAGCCACCAGTTGGTGCCAATCTGGTCACCTATGACCCAGACAGCAAAGGACAGCACAGAGACCCCTGGGGAGGCAGGGGAACAGGGGCATGTGGGTGATGGGGGCACTGAGGACAGTGAGGCCGCTGGGCAGGACGCACAGCAGGGGACACGTGACACGATGAGTGGCAAAGCCCAGGGCTGCACCGCACCGAGAGCCCTCCAGTGGCTGGGGACTCGTTAGTGACTGGGTACCGACAGCGGTTCATCAGAGCAAACCAACCACAGGGGCGAGGTGTTAGCAGATGGAACTAGGGGAAGGGGGTGGAAGCTGGGCTGTTTGCCCACTTTCCGATCGGCTCGCCGGGTGGCACGGCTTCACCTCGGACAACTCGTGGCTGTGTGCGACCAGAAGGCTTGGCCCAGGACCACTGCCCGGAGATGCACAAGGGGGGCTGTGGGGCAGGCAGAGGGGTGCTCTGTGCTTTCAAAAGTGGGTGGGGCCCACAGCCAGTTCTTGGCTCCAGGAGACACAGTGACAAAAGGTCTCCTGAATCCACAGCTGCTGCTGCCTGGAAAGGACGCGCGCAGGGCGCCCCTGTACCACTGCCCAGACCGTGCAGTTCCCACAACACTACCTTCTCTTGGGCAGGCTTCAGGACATTCTCATTCAGGCTGTGGCCCAACTCGGAGGCCTGTGGAAAGAGCACGGACCACGTCACAGGTGCAGCAAAGGCCTGTGTGGGCAGGACCCAGGTCTGCACCCAAATGCCAGGTACACAGCTCGGGACAGAAGCAGGCAGGCAGAGGGGTCACAGGAGTCATGGGCCCCCGTCCCTGCCCCGTTCCACCTGCGCTCTGAAGGGTCTGTGCTCACAGTCAGCCTCCACCACCACCAGCGACAGGGAGGAGACGTCCCTGCCCCGTCCCGCCTGCACTCTGCAGGGTCTGCGCTCAGTCACTCTCTGCCACCTTCTCTTGGTGGCAGGACACCTGCTTCTCACACCCCAAAGGACAGCGCACCGGGCAGGACATCCACCCACTAGCCAGCTGAACCCACATGCTGCGTGGGCAGCAAGACACATGCTATCCCCGTGGGGCTGAAGGGCTGCCATGTGCTCTCTGTCCAGCATCTTACACTGTGAGGACCAACAGGCGAGGCATGTGGGCACCAAGTCCACCCACCCTGTGGCCAATAGTAGGGGACAAGCAGAGCCTGGCCATGCCCACAGGTGGGGACAGCACCACGTCCACCACCCACAGCAGGAGTGAGTGGGCAGATGGGAGCGTGAGGCCCCAGGACAGGAGCAGCCTTCCTGGGTCGGGGCCTCGAGGGGCCAGGTTAGAGAAGATGGAGCTGGGGACATCACAGTGAAGAGCCACTGGGACCTGGCACCAAGGCCTCTTCCTCTCGAGGGGCAGGGAAAGCAGCAATCAGCCCCCAGGGACTACTCTCGCAACAGGGAGGCACCGGCAGCAGGACAAAGGCGCTTACCCCCCTGGTTCAAGCTCACTGACTTCAAGGGACACTCGCCCCTAGACACCCCTCCCCCACTCCGATGGGCACACTGCACTCAGCTACCAAGGCAAAGCCACTGCCACACATACTCAGACAGCCGGGGCGATGGGGCTGGGCCAAGCCCACCAGGCCAAGGGGAGCCGAAGGCACACGACAGCAGGGACGTGACAGGCAGTGAGTGGGGACAGAGCCACAGCTTAAGCAGGTGACACAAGACGGGGCCATGCATATGGACATGCCAAGAGACAGACAGCAGACAAAGTTGCAGCATTACCGGCTCTGACTGCTGCTTGGAGCCCCAAAACTTTACAAGGAGCCGGGTTAGTGGGAGAGAGAACGAGAGAACACCCGGGTGGGAGAGCAGCTGCGGCAACACCAGGAGCCCCAAGGAGAACTGGGACACCCGCGACCCCACCCACTGGGAGCCCAGAGGAGCTGGGGCGCCCAGGACCCCATCCACCAGGAACCCCAAGGGGAGCCGGGATGCACTGAGACCCCATCCACCAGGAGCCCTGAGGAGCCAGGGCGCCCAGGCCCCCGTCCACCAGGAGCCCCAAGGAGTCAGAGCGTGCCAGGACCCCGCCCACTGGGAGCCCCAGGGAGCTCAAGCCCGCTGGGACACACCCCCCCAGCCCAGAGGACAAACAGGACATGGCCCTGGCCAGGAGACATGGCCACCAGCTGGGGGCATGGGACACGGGAGGGGGCACAAGAGCCAGTGGAGCTCAGAGCTGCCGAGAGGGGGAAGGGCAGCTTTGGCCGAACCCCAGCACGGGCCAGGGTGCTGGGCAGGGGCTGTGCACTCGGGAGAGATGCTCGCCTCCTGCCAGGCGTGCCCTTGCTGGCGGCCCCGTGTGTTACAGGAGAGAGGAGCAGCTGCCCATCCCGCTCAGGAAGGAAGTCCCCGCTGTGGCAGACCAAGGGGCACTCGGCTCTCCCAGGACCAGCTCCCAGCGCAGGGTGCGGTGGTCCACGTCAGCCCCAAACCGGGCCGAGCACACCAAGGCCGGGCAGGCACCCACAGAGCTGCTGTGTGCCAGGTGTGGCGTCCTCGCCTCCAGAGCAGAGGTGCAGCTGCCTGGAGGGACTGACCGGGCCACACGCGTGCAGCCTCTTCACGCACCAGCCCGTCCCCCACATCCAGTGCAGGGGGCCGCCGAGCTGTGCTCACAGGGCCAGGGCAGGGTTGCAAAGAACCCAGCAGGCAGACACCGCTCGCTTACCTTCTGACTCGCTTGGGATCCGAACTTCGTAGCCTGAAGGGAAAACAGCGCAGGTCTTTTCACACGATCCCTTCCCCAGCTCCCCCCAAGCCCAGACTGAGACAGAGCCTGGATCCAGGGAAGCCTCCTGCCCAGCCATCTAGGCCGCCAGTGCTATCTGGGCCACAAAGGGGGGCTGAGCGGTGTGGGTGTGCTACTCCAACTCTGCCTTCGTGGGCAATAGCCCAGCCCCAGCCTGTACCTTTTCTGACAGCCGACACAACCCTGGGAGCTGTCAGCGGGCACAGGTCTCAAGGGGTGAGGAGGCCACACCTGTTGGCCTGTGCCCAGACACACCGACTTCTACAGTCAAGGAAAGGACGAGATGTCCAACGCAGACGTTCAGGCTGAGACGGGCCTGCCATTGCCTGCCCTCAAGAAGAAACGGGGCCCCAAGAGGTCTGGCCTGCGGGAAGCCCTGAGAAGTACCCACTGTTCCTCCTTCAGCAGGATGCTGGGGCCCGGGACCGAGACCAGGCTGGCCTCCCTGCCCCCCACCGCCGCAGCCTCACCCCCTGGGCCGCTCACTCACGCCCTCCTTGGCCGCAGAGGCGAACTTGCTCGCTCCACTGGTGAAGCTGCTCCAGCCCTGAGAGAGAGCAGCGTCCAGTCGGGCCACACTCAGGCTCTGCCCACAGGCAGTACCCCAAAAGAGGGCCCTGCGTGCCCAACCCTGCACCCTCACCCTGCAAGCCTCTCCTGACAGGCACGGCCCCCATGATGACTGAGGAAGGACCTGTGGGGGCTGCCCGTCTGGGTCCCTGTCCCCTCGGCGCTCTGTGGGCCTCAGCCCCGCCCTCTCTGGGGGAGGAACCCTCACATGGGTTTGGGGTACCTTCCAGCTGTTAAGGACCCTGCCTTGCTGAGTTTGAAATATACACCTTCTAGTCTGCATGTAACAGACCAAATGCCCTTGGGACCTCAGTAACTGCAGGGGGTTCACTGAAGGTGTGAGGACTTCAACCCAGAGCAAGACTGACATGCACACTGCTCAAGGGCTGCCTAGCACCATCACCCCACCTGGTCCACGGCGCCAGCAGGCTACAGCGCCCCCTGGTGTCCACACAGGGCCTGGCTCACCTGCCTAGACTCGCTGCCCCACCTGGCCTAATGGCACAGTGGCCGTCAGCACCCTGCTGTCCACGCCCGCCCAGGCTCGCTGCCCCACCTGCCCCACGGCACCAGTGGCTGTCAGCACCCCTGGTGCCCACACACGGCCTGGCTCACCGAGTACAAGGAGGACATGGCATTGTTGAGGAAGTCATCATCTTTCTTGGGTGGTGGCACTGTGTTACCAAAGCCCACATATCGGTTCTCCTGGGCCCTGAGAGTGAAGCAGACACATGGCAGCGGCCGGCACAATGCTGCTTAGCCTGAGGACGTGAGCGCCAAAGGCACGGACTGGGGCAGGCCCACCCAACCCCACACGGTAGGGGCAGGTATACCACGCCCTGCTGGCAACGCACCCGTGGGGCCCACCTGCCGGATGCGGTGCCTTGGTTTCCTTCTGTTGCCCAGAGGGAAGCCTCGCTCCAGCCTCTACCTAACCACCTCTGCGACCCCAAGCAGCACCCCACTGCCAAAGTTTACTCTGTGGCTTCAATGGTGGGACACTTCATCTTCGACACCTAAGACCCCTCCTCAAACACAGGCTCGTGCCTGTCCATCACAGCTGCCAGCAGAGCCAGCCTTCACAGCCCACCCGCTAACCTGGGACCAAGTCTCCCGTGCTGGGCTGTGCACACCCCCAGCTCCCCAGAGGCCTCACCCCTGGTAGGACCCAAGGTCGTCATTCAGCCAGTCCTCAAAGGCCTTGTCGGAGTAGGCGGTCACGTTCTGGGGCTGGCCAGCAGTTCTGAGATCAAGAGTCAAGTGTTAGTATGGCAAGAGTCCAGTGCATGGCCAGAGCCACGTGCTCACCTTGAAGACACCCCGTGTCCCATCAGGCCTCCCAGGAAATCAGCACTGAGCCGACCTGCCTCCACACACGCCTGTGGAGCTGCTCAGACCCACAGCCAAGCGTAACCGAGGCTCGCCAGGCCACTGTCCCCAAAGCTGCAGGGAGTGGCAGGGAGGAACCCGGGGGATGGGGACCACGGGCACCGAGGCAGGCTCGTTCAGACAGCCACCAAACAGGCAGGTGAGCCAGGGAAGTTAGTGGCACCCATGCCCATGTGGGGATGTCCTGACTCAGTGTCTCTCTCCCGATGCCTGTGCTCCAACGTGTGGTGAGCTCACACGGATGCCCCCGCAGCAGGAACGTGGTACACCCATCGACAGGGTTCATACCCACAGCACGCCACCTCTGTAAGCAGACAGTAACGCAACCACTGCGGCCCCCCCATGCCTGAAAGGGTCCCCTGAGTGTCCCTGGGAGGGATGCTATGGTGGCTTGTAGAGCCGTCTCACTGTTCTGATTGTTACTAAGCACTGCTTCCCTCCCTCAGAAACAGCTTGTAGCAGGCCTCTGCCCGAGTGTAGAACGTGAGCTTCCTGAGGACTGAGCTGAGCTACCATCAGCCCGGCCGGAATGGGTAGCTACCGGTGGGCAGTGGACAGCTGCATCTTGGGCTGTGGCGGGGTCCAGGTCTGGGCAGGTGACGACTCCAGGGACCATTCTTTGCCTTCAGCCAGGGTGGCCACCTGAGGGGACCCGGGAGGGGTCAGAGCAGAGAACCGTCACCCTAGCCCATCCCACAGGCTCAGGGCAGAGAACCAACACCCTAACCTGCTCCCCTAGGCTCAGGGCAGAGAACTGTCACCCTAACCTATCCCGCGGGCTCAGGACAGAAAGCCATCACCCTAACACGTCCCCCAGGCTCCAGGCGAAGAACCCTAACCCACCTCCCAGGCTCAGGACAGAGAACTGTCACCCTAACCTATCCCGCGGGCTCAGGACAGAAAGCCATCACCCTAACACGTCCCCCAGGCTCCAGGCGAAGAACCCTAACCCACCTCCCAGGCTCAGGGCAGAGAACTGTCACCCTAACCTATCCCGCGGGCTCAGGACAGAAAGCCATCACCCTAACACGTCCCCCAGGCTCCAGGCGAAGAACCCTAACCCACCTCCCAGGCTCAGGACAGAGAACTGTCACCCTAACCTATCCCACGGGCTCAGGACAGAAAGCCATCACCCTAACGCATCCCCCAGGCTCAGGGCAGAGGATCATCACTCTAATCCATCCCCCAACCTCAGGACAGAGACGCATCACCCTAATCCGCCCCACAGGTGAGCATGTAACACCCAGCTCCCTGCAGTGCCCCTGGTGATGGGCTTGGCCCCAGGAGTGAAGTATACTGTCACACCCACCGTTTGCTCTACGAGCAGGAGCCTGAGTCCCTGATTGCCACAGGTCCAGCTCCAACCACCCAGGAGCCCCCCTCTGCCCCCTGAACACTGGGCCTCCCACGCTTCTGGGAAGCACCCCACGTGCTGGGTCAGAGGCATCACGGGCTGTAGCCTCCTCCCCCAGGGCTCTCCCGGAAGCTGGGGAGGAGAGCGCACCCCCCAGCAATTGTAAGATTCCACTTGGAAAACAAAGGGTATACCCAGAAAAGACACAGCCTCGCCCGCCTGTCCCAGAACCCAGATAAGACGCGGGCTCGGCCGCCCGTCCATCTGTCCCACCACCCAGATCAGATGCGGGCTCAGCCACCCGTCCACCTGTCTTAGCACCCAGATAAGATGCAGGCTCAGTCACCCGTCCACCTGTCTTAGCACCCAGATAAGATGCAGGCTCAGTCACCCGTCCACCTGTCTTAGCACCCAAATAAGATGTGGGCTCGGCTACCTGTCCACCTGTCTTAGCACCCAGGTAAGATGTGGGCTCGGCCCACCTGTCCACCTGTCCCACCACCCAGATAAGACGCGGGCTCAGCCATCCGTCCACCTGTCTTAGCACCCAGGGAAGATGCAGGCTCAGTCACCCGTCCACCTGTCTTAGCACCCAGGTAAGACGTGGGCTCGGCCGGCAGTCCTCCTCACTGGCCCCCAGGTCATGTTGCCCCCAGGTGGTCAGCCCTGTGCCTGCATCCTGCCACCCAGCCCTGTGGCCACACCTCACCTTGTCCCTAAAGAGCGCTGCGGCCTTGCTGTTGTATTTCTCCTGCAACGACCAGCAGGGATCGTAATCCTCTTGTGATTCCAGGAACTCTCGGAATTTGGCATTCCCACCAACTTTCATCTTCTCAAGTTCAATGTCCTTCCACTTGTCCATGGTCACTGATCGCACAAAGCTAGAAACCAAGGTGTCAGCCAATGAGCCCTGGGACCCCCGCCCCGCATCTGACCCCATGGCTCCGTGACAGAAGCCAGAGCCAGGAGGGGCAGCATGGTGGAGCCCAGTGGGTCATGGCGTGCAGCCGCGAGCACCAGCTACGGGAAGCAGGGTGGTAGAGGAGCCAGCCTATCAGCCACAGTGAGGGACTGACCTGAGGTGCACGCCCAGGCCCCGGTGCTTCCCAGAACACTCCAAGCAGATCCAGATTCCGTAGCTCACACTCACCCACTGAGGGCTGAAGGCGCCACACTCAAAGCAGACCTGCGGGGAGGGCCCGTGAGGTCAGCAAGGCAGCTCTGAGCAACTAGCACAAGTGAGCAGTGCCCAGGGCAGCAGGGGCAGGGACAGGTGTGGCCAGCTGGGGGACGGACGGTGCCCAGGGCAGCAGGGGCAGGGACAGGTGTGGCCAGCTGGGGGACGGTGCCCAGGGCAGCAGGGGCAGGGACAGGTGTGGCCAGCTGGGGGCGGTGCCCAGGGCAGCAGGGGCAGATCAAGGAGGAGGGTGCAGGTGGCGCCCCAGGGCAGCAGGGGCAGATCAAGGAGGAGGGTGCAGGTGGCGCTGATGGGAACAGGGAACCATAGCCACACCCCCGCCATGGCTCCCAGAGCCACGGGGCTGCCTCGCTCGCATACAAAGGGACCCAAGAGGATTCCAGAGAGGTGGGTGCTTACATTGTTTTCATCCTGCACCCTGACTTCTTTAAGAACTTTCCTCGTCCTTGGACTGGCCATGATGCTACAAAGGAGAAAAAGAAATGTCATCACCTCACGGACATCACCTGGTGAGAGACTCGCCCGCCCTCCTGGTGGCTGACCTCGCTCCATAGAGCAGAGCTGCCCACAAAGCCACACTCAAGGCCACCCAGTTGAAGGACTCCGTCCTCCACGTCCTGAGACATCAGGAGCATGTGGGACGGGGCAGCGTGACCATTGACACAGTATAGTCATCACTACAGGGGACAGGCTGCTTCAGTGTCTGCACAGCTGAGGTCTTCCCTCGGACCCTAAAGCTCATAGCAGGTGGTGGTCTGGACCCAAGGTGCGCAACTGGCCACCCACCCTGACTTCCTATTTGTGAGGGTCACACACCAGGCCTGGGCCAACAGCTTCAGAACCCAGCCGCCACTCACCCCACATAGCACACCTGCCCTGCACCTTCCCACTCCTCCCTGGGGCCGATGCATGTGGAAGGGCGACCCGCTGGAGCCCCTCTCTGTGCAGCACTGGAGATGACAGACCTGTGACCAGCCCAACAGGCCCAGGGCCTGCCCCAGAGCTTAGAGTCGGACAGGCCCGGGAAGGAAAGCCCCACTCGTCACAGCTCTCCGGCTCTCGGCAAGTCAACTTCAATCAGCACCCCCACGCTGATCAGCACCCCACACGACCATGTGCGCCTCCGCGTGCTGCCGAGTGACTGGTGGAGACAGGGACCTCACTGCGGTGTCAGAGGACGGCTCCGACCGGCCTCCCCACTCCCAGTGCGTGCTCTGGCCCAGCCTGGTAATAACTCAAGCACCTGTGTCATGCCTCACCGTCACCCTGGAGCACAGAAATGCTCCTCACCAGGGAGCCTGCCTCCCCACGTGGCCCGGCCACCAGGGCCCGTGCGGCCACCACTCTTAACAGTCACTAGTCCTTGCTTCTGAGCTCTTGGAGGTTAGGAGACAAGCACGTCTTTTCCACAATTGATCAAAACAAAACGGGGAGTCTGTGCTGAGCCACTTCACTGTGATACTCCGGGCTGTGTCTGGAGGTCAGCTGAGATCATGGCATGAGGCCACAGGGGAAACCCCATCACCCCAGCCACTGCACCAAGCACGGGCCGTGGCAGGCATCCCTCACACCGACGCTGCCACCATCGCACACTTGCCAGATCACAGCCGGGAAGGTGGAAACCACATCCAGACAGAGGACCTGGCAGGTTCTGCTTACCAGGCCGCTCGCCTCAGTGAATCACTGTGACCGCCAGGGTCCTGGGCACTGCTGGTGGTGCACAGAGGGGACCACCCGGGGGCCTACTGAGATGGGGTGCTCACCTAGGACCCCAGAGCTGCTGCGGGGGCCTACTGAGATGGGGTGCTCACCTAGGACCCCAGAGCTGCTGGACAGGAGGGACAGACCAGCCAGGGTCCTGCTCTGTCCCAGCCCCTTGCAACGCACTGGTGCCTGCCCCATGGCTCACACTCAGGTCACATTACACAAGTAAACGTGGGATTTTCAGATGGTTCTCGGGCCTCTGGTGAGACTGCTCTGAGTTTCCAGGTGTTTCTATAAAGCAAGAACGCCCGCAGAACCACCGGAGAACAACACCGGCCTGAGGGCCCTGGAGTGGCTCCTAGAAGAACCTCACATGAGCGACTGCTGACATCAGAAAGCCCTTTAGTTTCCCAAAACACTAACTCTAATAACATGACAACAAACGCCTCCCGACTTCCGAAATCACAATGTGGTTTATCTTGAAAGATAACCTGAAAATTTGCTCTAACACTTGAAACCAAAATGACAAAGTCACAGCTCTTCTAACAGGTAGACATGATGCTGGTCAGTGCTGAGCCAAATGAGGGCGCATCTACCGAGCTCTGCAAGTAGCTGACTTGCTGAGTCCCAGTGTCTGACCCTCCACTGGGGCTCAGCAGGACTGCCCCGTGGTGCCAGGGCTTTCGCTTGTTTTACTGGACAACACTTGTGTTTTCCTTCTCTGACAAGCTGCTGCGTGACACAGGCTCTGGCTGTCACCGGGTTTACTGCACTAGCTGACTTTCTTGGAAACCGTGGAAGCACCCAAACTCTAAATTCTGAACGTCAGCAAAGACATGGTCCCAAAAAGGGCTGCCAGGGCAGACGAGCACTAGGCTCTCCCCGGGGTCAGGGTTCGCTGCTGGTGATTCCGCTCATGGTGACCCTGCGTGCACAGAGCAGGATGGCTGCCCTGGGTGCTCTAGGCCGTGACCTCCCGGAAGCAGAGAGCCAGGCTTGTCTTCCCAGGCACCTCCAGAGCGGTGCAAACTACCACCTTTAGGCTGGTGGTCCGACACTTACCTGCTCGCATTGTGGGGACCCCAGTTTTTAATGCTCTAGGAAACAGGGCCCAAATTCTGCACTAAAGCAGCAGAACCGTCCCTCTGGGTGCGACTGGCAGGTAAGATGCGCTTCTTCCCGGTAAACCCAGGCCAACTGCAAAGCCCTTCCTCCCCCGACAGCCACCCAATCAGAGCCGGAGCAGAACAGGCAGTAAACGCCGGCCCAGGACCCTTCTTTCTTGGGGGTGCTGGCCCAGAGGCGCTTCAGGATGACCCTGCCTGGACCGGAAAGCCGGGCCCAACAGCAGGAAGGGGTCGGGGCAAGGCCCGGCCCCAGGGCGCTCGTGTCCCGGGAGGACGTGTGCGCGGAGGCTCCCGGGTGCCCGGGGAAGGGAAGCAGCTTCCGAGGGGGCAGCGGCGGCAGGCCC